GTTCTGGATACACATTTTTGGCTCTCAACTCAACATATAAATCATGTCATCATTCAAGTAAATGGTATCCAAATAAAACAATTATAAAGAATGAAGCAAAACAGAGAAACTGAGAAACACAAAATACCTTTTGAGAGTTGCACTTGATATTGAGTCTAAATAACATAACAGGTAACTCCCTGATATTTCCTTGATTATTGACCGCTGACAATTTTAGCCAGGAGATGTGTGCCAAATGTACCCGACACAAGCACATGGGACACAGCATGATGGGAATTATTTAACTCAAGCAGTTTAGATCTTGTTTTGTAGAAGCTTAGACATCCTATTTCAACCTACTTTCGATTTCAATCATACAGAGGACAACGGGCCTGCATAAAGCCAGTAATAAGCAAACAGCAAGCAAATATCTCATCTACATTCATAACGCAATGAATATAATAACAACAGTCTACTGACAATACAATAATACAACAAAATGCGTGCACACTTGACTCAAGAATGTTGTTGCAGCTATCTAAGCTACAGCTCCATAAAGTGTCGCAAAATATCTTTACTCACAAGTGTTTTAAATAACAAGAGCTCACAATCCTTGTAAGCTGTCACGCACGGCGACAGCTGCGGACCTGGATCTGTCTGTAAAGATCTCCCTGCATGTTCTGAGGAGGACATTAAGCTGGCACGCTTTTGATACTGCAATAGCTCCGTGTTTATTAGGAAACTAACAGGCATACGTACCTGGCTGGAGTTGTAGTTGGTTCCCCATTTCGTCGTTAATGTTGTCGTCGCCTCCGCCCCTCTCTGCAGCCATAGCCGTGTGTTTACAATCCGCTCCCAACAAGCGCAGCACTACCGTGAAGAGATGTGCGGGGAAACACACAGCGCCCTCATGTGAGTGGATGTTAGTGGTCTAGTAATATTGACTCATCCAGGTGAATCGAATTTTTTGAATCAGTTCACTAGAAATATCAATTTTTAGTGCCTTTCAGTAGATGGCGACCATACAGTCTATGGTGGCGACAAGTTGTGTGTGTGTGTGTGTGTGTGTGTGTGTGTAGGGAGAGTGATTTAATCATGTAACCCTTAATCAGTCCCTGGGGTCCAGCTGACCCCATTTGAATTTTCCTTTATTTTTTAAAAGTGTTCCCTTCATTCCATGGGCATGAAATTCTGCGACTTTTCCTAAATAATCTATCTTAAACACACACACAAAAATCGTTGTTTCGTTGTTCTAAAGGTGTGTAAAAAAAAAATCTGATTGACCCCACATTGAAAATGAATTGATTTTTTTTTTCATTTCATTCGTCAAAATAAATAAATAAATCCAGTATAAATCTGAAAATGTCTTCATTTAAATAAAGGTCTGGTCCTAGACCATAAACACAAAGTGGAACGAACTTTCTATCTCATACACACACACACACACACACACACACACACAAACACATACATGTGTGTGACTGCAACAGAGAATATTTTTTTATAGAAATTGGCAAATAAAATCAACAAAACTGGCATAAATCTGTCCATATATAAATGAAGGACTAATACTAGAGCACAAAGGCAACATGGAACAAGCATGTTCACTCACACACACACACACACACAGGTGTCTGGGGCATTTTTTTGATTTTGGCAAATAAAATCAGACATAAATGCACAACAGTGTGAAGGGGTAGACATAACACCACACACACACACACACACACACACACACAGAAAGAGAGGGAAAAGGGCAGATAAAGAAAGATGAAAGGCAGCTAACCTTTTGCACTCTGAGAAAGTTTACTGTTTGATGAAAGAGCTGCAGCAGTATTTTGAAAACATCTCACAGTTAGGGTATAAAAGTGGCTGTCTGGGTCCTGCACTGAGCTCATTCTGTGGCAGCACCATGGCCAAAAGGTACAGTCTTGAGGAGACCCTGGATTTCATACTGGATCAAAGTGACAGTGAAGAAGGCCCAGAGAACACTGAACCAGATAGTCCTGAGGACTTTACTACTGACACAGAAGATGAAAATGAGTTTGAACAGGATTACCAGGAATCTGAAGAGAAGGATTATGCCGTGTTTATTTGTGATAAATAATTTTCTGAAATAAATAGTATGTGATTACAGTCATGTCTTTTAGTGGTGACTTGTAACATTTCTGCAAATTTATGTATAATTATTTGCAAAAGCAAACAATTCAAAATATATCAGACAACAAAAATAAATACAAAAATACAGATTTTTTAAATGTATTTTAGAATGTTTAAATATATATTCACAAAATATATATCATAAAGTTGTGAGGAGAAGTTGAAACATGAAGAAAAATGGACTTGAGGGACATGAGTCCCTATGGACCTCTGCTGGATATATGTGATCATTGCACTTTCTTTCTTTAACTATAATACCTAAAGATATTCCTCTAACCTGCAGATGGCAGTATTCTATCTCTAACACATGGGCCAATATCCAGAAACCTTTTATATTTAATTTAGGTCATAATTTAAGGGATTTTTTCATTAAAGAATATTTTTTATAAGCCAATTTATGTCATATTTGAGTATTTGTGCAGTAAATAGGTAAAAAACTACCAAATATCCACAAAAACACAGCATAAATGTATAGCTGAGAAGTAAATAAAAAAATGATATATAGTTTGTCATATAAAAAATTTATATTTCCTTATGCAATCGCTCTGTAAAAGTTTGGGGTCTATCTGACCCCAAGGGACTTTAACGTTCCTCAAACCAAGGGACGATTAAAGGTTAAAACAAACTGATTCATTATACTGAGTTGTTCAGGTAACCAAATAATCTTGATATACTTTACAAATTTATGAAGATCCTATTCCCCCACAAAGTCTACGTCTGAATGAAAAGAGATGCTTTGTTCGTTTATTTCGTACATTTCGTACATGAATGAAATGAACGAGATTCATTCATTTAAAAGATTTATTCAGATAAAATTATTTGTTCACGAAACAAACAAGTAAAAGAGTTGTGTTAGTTTAACCATATCGAAATCGAAACGTGGGGTCAGCGTGATTCTTTGCTTATTATTTGCAATAAGGTAAACTTGTTTCTTTTGGTGACAGCAGAGCATTTATGTCTGGTGCTTCTGTTATATGTATGTGCCTGTAATTGTCTTGAGTGACTATTACTCAGTTATTGGAGTGTCTTTCGCTCAGCATCTTCAAGAGGGATCAAGAAAGCGTTTCACAAGCTGGCCCTTAAACACCATCCTGATAGGAACCAAAGCCCAAATGCACAGCAGGCATTCACACACATTGCTCAGGGTATGTACTTTCAAAAAAAAAAATTTATTTACAACTTAACTGAAGTATTTCATGAATAATTGTGTTCATTTTTCCCCCCTTAGCCTATGAGGTGCTGTCTGACAGAGAGAAAAGACAAATCTATGATCAAATGGACCATCTAACTAACCTTGATCAGGACAGAAAAAAAAAGTTCAAGAAAGATGAAAATGAGGACATGGACAGCAATCTCTTTGTCGATAAAGGTACATTTCATGGTAAAATGGGTTTCCAGCATTTTAGTTTAGAGGAGCTGCTTTATACGTTGCAGATGGATGATGACGTCTTTATGAGTGAACAAGCTGGCTATGAAGAATGGAGTTTTATTTTTGGGCCTGATGATAATGATGAAACAGTCCTCCTCTGTGATCTTTTCAACATGCTTTGATTTCCAGGGTTTGTGTATTTTGGTCAGTAATAAGTTGTATTTTTATTTATATTTATTAATTACATAAATTCTGTTTTTAAAGTCTACACATTTATCTTGCTGCTGTGTTTATTAAATACAACTTCAAATTAAACAAACAAATAAAAATCTACATTATTGTCATTATTTTGTAGAGAACTGCCCTTTGAGAGCTGACAAATAAAAAGCTTATTTTAACCTGAAGTGTAATTTGTTTGATATTTACAGTATGATATTTAGATTCATAAATATTATAAGCAGCTTTTTTTTTAAATCAACATTACAGATCATAGATCTTGATTTGCTGGCTTTTATCACAATTAAACTGTACCTAAACTGCACATTACTTGCTGCAAATAACTATATGTTAAGACACTAATTTGTTTTCTGAAGTTATGAACCATAAAATGTTAAAAATCATAAAATATTTGTTTACAGATTTCCTTGTGTCAGTTCCTGAACTTTTCTCTTCTTAATGGTTGCATTATGTAACTAAAATACAATATTTATAGTGATATCCTGCTTCAACAGCAACACATATCAGTATTGACTGGTAAACATTCACGTTTGCAATGAAAATTGAACACACATACTGATGTATGATCAAAAGGACTGACGCTCAGAAAACACACAATCTTTGATAAACGTTCAACCTAGTTTATCATGCTCAGCATTTCCTGCTTGAACTGGAAAGGGTGGAGTGTTCAGGGTGTTTTTTCCCTTCTTTGTTCAAATGATGAACAGTGATTTTGTGTCAGTGTGTTTACCTCCACCATTAGTGTGTCTTTGTGTGCATGTGTCCGTACTTAACATTTGTCTACAGCAGGTTTGCTAACTGCTTACTTTAGCCTGATGACTACAAACCTGGGTGATGCAGACACTGCAGATCCTCTGTGTGCCAGTGAGATACCACCTCCCTCTTTTTCTAGAGTTTAAATTTTTTTTATTTTTTTTTGACTGTGAATGAAGGCACCAGAATTACACATTTGGGTTATGAATAACTACAACACTTTCAGGGTGCTGAGCCTATGTGCAGTAATATATATAGGATAAGAAATGTACCTTATTCATGTATATTTATGTAGAGTGTAGAGGAGAAGAGGGATTGTTATGAGTGGCCAAATCAAAGTCCGGACTTAAATCCGATTGAGATGCTTAAACAGTCCATTCATGCTCGAAAACCCTCCAATGTGGCTGAATTAAAACAATTCTGCAAAGAAGAGTGGGCCAAAATTCCTCCACAGCGATGTGAAAGACTCATTGCCGGTTGTTGCTGCAAAGCGTGGCACAACCAGTTATTAGATTTAGTGGGCAATTACTTTTTCACGTAGGGCCAGGCAGGTTTGGACAGCTTTTTTCCCTTAATAGAAGAAAACATCATTTAAAAACGGCATTTTGTATTTACTTGCATTATGTCTGTGTAATATTAAAATTTGTTTGATGATCTGAATCTTTTAAGTGTGACAAATATGCAAAAAAATTTAAAAACAGGAAGGGGACCAACACTTTTTCACACCACTGTAGATATCGTACCTCAAAGTGATGATGTTACTGAACATTTCCTTGTATCGTGCATGCTGCGTATTACTAATTACCTGTTTCTGATGCAGAAAAGCTAGTTCATGCATTAATGATGTAAGAACTCACCACTGGACTGTTAATTTACCTCCTGGTCAACAGTTGGCGCCTCTCTCCAGGTTCCTGCTGATTACTAACATTCATTAAGCCTGATGTGCCTGTGTTTAGCCCTATATAAGTGGGTTAGGTCATGCTTTATTGTTCAGTCTTGAGGCTATGTTACCAGTTGCCTGCTGAAAGTTAAGTCTGTTTTGTTAAAGTTCTTTTTTGACTCTAGTTTCTGCTCTGCTTTTCTCTGTTTTTGTTGCACTTTTCTTCAGTAACGATTGCCTTTTGCTGGAGCTCAATGACTCCCTGTTTTTTGCTACCTCTGCTCTTGGATTCTTTAATTGGGGAGTTAGCTCAATCAGTAAACTCAGTAACTTTGAACGTGAGAGACCTGGGTTTGATCCCCATCTAGAACAACCCCGTTACACATGACCTCTAGACTGGACTATTGTAATGCACTGCTAGGTGATTGTCCTGCATCTTCAATAAACAAGCTACAGGTAGTCCAAAATGCAGCGGCTAGAGTCCTTACCAGGTCAAGAAAATATGATCATATTACCCCAATTTTACAGTCTCTACCTATTAAGTTCCATATCAGTTACAAAATATTATTTCTTGCCTATTAGGCCCTTAATGGGTTAGCTCCTGCGTACCTAACTAGTCTTCTACCACGCTACAATCCATCACGCTCCCTAAGGTCGCAAAACTCTGGACTTTTGGTAGTCCCTAGGATAGCAAAGTCCACTAAAGGAGGTAGAGCTGATA